TGAAAGAGGCCAGGATATCATTTCAGCTTTCTAGACTGAAAATCAGCTGTGGGGGTGTACAGTCAAACCAGAAAGCTTATGAAGAACAAAGACAGTAAAACCAATTATAGACAGTTCTGTGAATCTGTGATCTTTTCTGTGATGTTTCCTTGCTTGCTTGATAGAATTGAGTTGAAACTATTTACTAAGCTAATTTATACTAACAATTAATTTTGGCAACAATCTGAGCCATTTTTCTCATTTTGAATTTTGACCAAAAGAAGCCCTGGACACAAAATCCAGAAATTTTGCTGAATGTCTTAAAAATGGAATTGTGTGACTTCTCTGTTTTGAAACTTGTTTCCCTTTCAGAATAAAGCAAATCTTTCTCTTTCTTTCTTTTTTTTTTTTTTTCTTTTTAACTAAAGGGAATAAAAGGGTTAAATAACCTGAAAGAAGAAAAGGATTAAATGAATGTTCTGCCTGACCCCAGGCATTTCTTCAAGGTTTTGTTTCAATAACCCAACTAAAATATCCCTTGTTAACATGATTCCAAGTACAAGGTACCTTAACAACAATTCCCAGGAGATGTTGTAACACCTTTGTCAAATTCAGTTTAATGTCAGAGTGGCTGAGAACATGTTCATTCTATGAAAAAAGAGGTATTTTAACATTTCCAGCCTAATTTTGGAAGAAAACAAATGTTGAAGTATTAGAATTTCCCCCAGGATGAAAATTCTAATATTTTGCTCAGCTCTGGTTTCCAATAACTCTTACACTTTAATTTTGTGATATTTAACTTAATGTTTCCCATGTGAGTATTATAGCACTAGTGGGTAAAACTTTAGTCACCTCACAGATTAGGCATGCAAAAGAAAACAGTTCATGTATGTACAGGGACAGATTTCTGCCTTCACGAGTGCCTTCCTCTTGTTTCCCCCACTGATGAGATGTCAGTTTATTACAGACTTGATGAATGGAGTTTCCTTTCTCAGGAAACAGTAGTCAGGTCTATGGAAGCACTTATGTAACGTATGTTCCCCTCCATGCAGGTTTGCTCATTATTCGTTCCTGTGACTGTTTTGGACTGCAGTCAGGGACAACCTGAAGGGAAATGATGAAGTTCTGCTGCGAGGGCATTAGTGGGAAACAGTCCTTAGCAGTTCTGGTCTTAAGAGTTTCAAAGCCACAATCAACCCCTACTCGCACCTCTGTGGTGTGCTCAGTGAGAAAAGTTCTGTGCTGTTAAGCCCTGTGTGCTCAGAAAATCTGATAGAACCTACTTTGCCTTAGATATATGTGCACTGAAATTGTTTTCATTACATGTAGTACATAAAATCTCTCTTTAGGACATGAGGCTTCTTTCTACCAGGTAAGGTCCTAGGCAGCCTGGGTCTAAAGTTGCTTCTGGTACTAGACACCTCCTAAGGCTCCAGGGAGACCTCATCATGGCCTTCCAGTACTTGAAGGGAGTGTATAAACAGGAACAAGAATGACTGTTTATATGGGTCGATAGTAATAGGACGAGGGGGAGATGGTTTTCAACAAAGACAAAGGAGATTTAGGTTAGATACTAGGAGGAAGTTTTTCACTCAGAGGGTGGTGACGCACTGGAACAAATTGTCCTGAGAGATTATAGATGCCCCATCCCTGGAGGCATTCAAGGCCAGGCTGGATGTGGCTCTGGGCAGCCTGTTCTAGTGGTTAGCGACCCTGCCCATGGCTAGGGGATTGAAACTAGATGATCTTTGAGGTCCTTTTCAACACAGGCCATTCTATGATTCTATGATCTTGAGGGAGGTGGGAGGCAAATGGATGAGGCCAGGCTCTTCTTGATGGTGTGTAGCAATAGGATAAGGAGTAATGGCCTAAAACTTGTACATAGGAAGTTCTGTACTAATGTGCAGGAGAAGTTCTTTATGGTAAGGGGGATGGAGCACTGGAACAGGTTGCCCAGAGAGGTTGTGGAGTCCCTTCCTATGGAGATATTCAAGACTCATCCAGATGGCTAGTTGTGCGACCTGTCATAGGGTTCCTGCTTTAGCAGAGGGGTTAGACACAATCTCTTGAGGTCTTTTCCAGCCCCTATGTTTCTGTGATTTCCCCATTTCCCTTCACCTGCATTCACCCACAGTCCCCAACTGCACTTCAGCAACTGCCAACTGAAATGAAAGCTGGTAACTGGCAGCTGGCTGTAACATCTCCCTCCTTCTGATTTATGAGTTGTCTCTCTCTGGCACCGAGGGCGCCTTCTAACAGAGTGGGCTGTTCCTGTGCTCAGAGGCAGTCCTTCTCCTCCAGCAGCTGCAGAGTGCCACGGCCCTTGCTCAGCTTCAGGCAGCGTCCTGGCACAGCTCTGAAATAGACTTGGGCAGGAAGGTTCTGTGCTGCAGAACACTGTGGCAAGCTTTCCGTATAGTGGTGGAGTTCTCACCTGCTGCTGTTCCCCTATGGCACTACCATGCAGTTCTGTTTGGATCATGACAAAAGCTGTAGGGCTGGCCTCCAGCACCCACAGGCAGCGAGCATGGCTCACTGGCCTCTCTCCTGGTATGACAGCGGTGTCTGCCTACTACTGCTGCTAAGATCTTCCTTTTGCCTTGGAAAAGGGATTGCCTCTGACGAATCCATCCTTTGCAATCAGCACGTGGTGCTTGCAGTTTATTTCTCTTACAATCTCAGAATCATAGAGGTTGGAAGGGACCTCTGGAGATCCTTGAGACCAACCCCCCTGCTAAAAGCAGTTCCTTACAGGAGGTTGAGCAGAAAAGTGTCCTGGATCACTGCCCTCAAGCTGCTGGTCACAATCCTTTTAAAGCGCCCCAGGATAACATTGGCCTTCTTGACTGCAAGGGCACACTGCTGGCTCATGGCCAGCCTGCTGTCCACTGGGACACCCAGGTCCTTCTCCGTAGAGCTCCTCTCCTGCAGATCAGCCCCTAGCACAAAAAATATGCAGCTGTGTTTTCTGTTTTCATACAGGAATTAGAGAATAGGTTTCAAGACTGCCAAAAATTCATCCACTTTTTTGTTTCTTTGTATCTCCATTCTACATTGACATAAATACATTACTGGTCAATTTTCAAATGGAACATGTAGAGCTGCAATCTAAAGCCTGATCTCTTTCTTAAACAATAAAAAGTAAAACATTAAAATGTTTTGTTACTTATTATATTATATGATGCATTTTCTGAGGGCTGCTCTGAAAGTAATGCCTCTCATTGTATGGTGTTGGCCCATGACATCAGAGGCGGATGTTGGTGGTGTGGCAGTAGGGGTTGAAACTTCCCACCAATATTCCATGATGTGTTATTGCCATGCGACAGATGGCAGCAGACAGGCAGTCTGACACAATGGGTCTGACGTGGAAGTGCACATGGAGCAGGCATGTGTCACTGAACTCCTCCACGTGGAAAAAAATGTCACCCACTGACATTCATTGACACACACGGAACACTTAAGAAGACCAAGCAGTGGATGTGAGATCAGTGGGGTGGTGGGCAGCTGCAGCAGCAACAGTAGGTCAGCTCTGCTGGTGCAGATTGTTACAAGCACAGCATGCAGGCTCTTCTTCGTCGCTGGTGAAAAGGCATAGCTCATGGTGGTGACAGTTTTATAGCTGAGAACGTGAAGGGGTTTCAAGAGATGCCTCCTCTATGCTGTCCTGGTCAGACTGCATCTGGAGTATTGTGTCCAGTTCTGCGCCCCTCCATTCAAGAAGGACAGGGAACTGCTTGAGAGAGTGCAGCGCAGAGCCACAAAGATGATGAAGGCATTGGAGCATCTGCCTTACGAGGACAGGCTGAGGGAGCTGGGTCTCTTTAGCTTGGAGGAGACTGAGAGGTGACCTCATTAACGTTTATAAATATGTAAAGGGCATGTGTCAGGAGGATGTAGCCAGGCTCTTGTCAGTGACATCCAGTGACAGGACAAGGGCAATCGGTGCAAGTGGTAACATAGGAGGTTCCACATAAATATGAGAAAAAACTTCTTCATAGTGAGAGTAACAGAATACTGGAACAGCTGCCCAGAGAGGTTGTGGGGTCTCCTTCTCTGGAGACATTCAAAACCTGCCTACACACGTTCCTCTGTGACCTAATCTAGGCGTTCCTGCTAAGGCAGGGGATTGGACTAGATGAGCTTTTGAGGTTCCTTCCAATCCCTGACATTTGGTGATTCTGTGATTCTGTAACTGGTGTGAAAAAGAGACAGCACCTATTAAAATGAAAACTTGTTAAAAAAAAATACTCTTCGTATTTTAGCCACGATTTTTTTTTTTTTTTTATAATTAATATTAATGGCATTTATTTTTTTTTAATTAATAATACACATTTTTTTAGCTCATCTTCCCCTCTTCTCTCCTCTCCTCTTCTCTCTCTCCTCTTCTCTCTTTCCTCTTCTCTCCTCTTCTCTCTCTCCTCTTCTCTCCTCTTCTCTCTCTCCTCTTCTCTCCTCTTCTCTCTCTCCTCTCCTCTCCTCTTCTCTCTCTCCTCTTCTCTCCTCTTCTCTCTCTCCTCCTCTGCTCTTCTCTCTCCTCTCCTCTCCTCTCCTCTCCTCTCCTCTCCTTTTAAATTTCCCTTTTCATTCCCTTTTTCCTTCCTTCCCCATTCCCTCCCCATTCCCTCTCCCCTCATCTGCCCTCCCCTTTCCTTTCATTCCCTTCCCTTTCCTCCCCTTTCAAATTTCCCTTCTCATTCCCTTTTTCCTTCCTTCCCCATTTCCTCTCCCCTCATTTCCCCTCCCCTCCTCTCTTTTCCTTTCCTTCCCCCTTTCCTTTCTCCCTTTCTCCCTCTCCTTCCCTCCCCTCCCTGCCCCTTCTCCCTCCCCACACCCTCTCCCCTCATCTCCCCTTTCCTTCCCCTTCCTCCCCTTTCCTCCCCTTTTAAATTTCCTTTTTCATTCCCTTTTTCCTTCCTTCCCCATTCCGTCCCCATTCCCTCTCCCCTCATATCCCCTCCCCTCCTCTCTCTTCCTTTCCTTTCCTTTCTCCTCTCCTCTCCTTCTCCTCTCCCTCTCCTCTCCCTTTCCTTTCCATTTCTCTCTTCTTTCCTCTTCTCTCCTCTTCCCTCACTTCACTTCACTTCATTTCTTTTCTACTGGCTCCACCGTTGAAGACAAAACTTTCTTATCCTCTTCCACGTCTCACTAGAAAAAGGAAAGTCTCAAGTTGTGACTGAGTAATTTTTGCCTCAAACAGACTGAAAAACTGCTTACTCCCTGGATCCCTCTGGCAGAGGCAAGCTACAGCTCTGACTGCAGCAACAGCAAAGGCAGAAGTGCCAGTACCTGTCTGTGGGCCCAAGTAGTCGGGAGAAGTTATCGACCATGACCTCTGTGTGACAGCGAGTGAGGATGACCACTGCCTGGCACAGGAAGGGCACAAACGTGCTCTGCTGCGCAGACGATGTGCAGCTGCGCAGGATGTAGAGGATCGGTTGCACCTGAAAGAAGAAGGGGAGAAAGAATTACTTGCTGCATCCTGGACTCTGCAGGGCCTAAGTATGGACATTCAGCACATGAACAGTGCCTGCCCCCTGGACATGCTGCCAAGGCCTAAGCCTAAATTTCATGGCAGCCACCCTGTCCTGCCTCTGCGCTCAGGCTGTTCTTCTTTACCACAAGAGGCAAATGGCACAAGGCATAGTGCAACAGCCAAAAAAAGTCTAAGACACGTGGAAGAAAGTCTCTTACGTCTCGACAGATGTCCTTCCCATGCATCTGCAGAAAGGTGGTCATCCACTTCCCAGCAGCACGCACGCGCACTCCTTTGGCTCTCCGGATGGTCTCTTTTATGGCCAACATGAAGTCGACAGTGCGTTCTAGGGGGAAGTTTTTGCATACGATCTGCAGAGAAAGGAGAAGCAGGAGAGATCCCATCACTGCTCTGTGGCAGCTCTTCAAAACATAAAGCAGTCTTGAGGGTGTTGTTAGTTCAGCGGCATGCCGGTCATTCAGGCAGCAATCACAATGCTCCTGCTGTCTGTACCCTGATATTTATACAGAAGGCAGGTGAACCTTCTCTCAGCTTCTGCACCCAAGGTGTCTGCGTACATGCAAAGCCTACCTCCCAGCAGCCACAGTCACACATGCACACAAACACACAGTCTCACATACACACACACATCATGGAATCAACACCTTGCGCAGGGCACCTGAAGAACAGACATAGCTCAGAACCTCCTGCTACTTGCTGAGAAAAGCGGTCTCAGGGTGACAGCTCATTCTGGAAATGGTATGAGAGGCTGGGAGCAGCACATGGTTGTGCAGAAGCATATGCACAGAGATCCCACCACCCCTTTTTGGGTCCACTTACTCCTGCTATTTTGGATGAGGTCTGGAGTTGAGAGATGACACTGCAGGCATACAGCCCCTCACACAGGCTCCTGATGTCACCCGTCTCGATGACTCTGTTGTTCGCTTTGGCTGGAAAGAGCACAGGGAGAAAAGGGAAGTCATGCTTCTGGAAATGGAACTGCTTTCCATGGGGGAGAGACCGAGGACAGGGTGGGGACAAGAAGAGAGTTGCGCACAGTGCCTCTCCCTCCTGTAAACAGGACCCAGCCCGTGGGCTCTAGTAGTGTTGTGGAGGAGAGCGGAGGGCTGGCACATGCTCGCTCTACTTGCCTTGGATTCGGAGGAGGGAGTCCAGACAGGTGACGGCCAGCTGGCGGGATGTGGGCATGGGGTCACAAGTCAAAGGCGCCAGCAATCCCACCAAGGAGCCAAAGTGCTCGCAGGCATCTCCTCTCTGCAGGGGTGAGAGGCAGGAACAAAGCTGTAGACAGCTCTCCCTAGCTTCTCCCGCCTGTGCCTTCTCCACGCCGTGGCACAGCTTGCCTTCCAGCTCTGGGGTACTGGGGAGGGAGCAGGGGGCATGTAATGGGGCTCTTTACTCACATGAAGCTCTTCACAAATAGCTAGCAGCTGGGAGCAGGTCTGCAGGGCCCTCTTGCGCTCCCACATGTTGTCCGATGTCATTGATCTCTGCAGGACTGTCTCACTGAGGATGTCTTTTCTTTCCCTTCCTGCTGCCACCCCTCTCCCTGTCCCTCCTTTCCCAGCACTTTTCCTCAGGGCTGGCCCTGTGGTTCCACACAGCCTCCCCACCTCACTGAGCACCAATACTGCTGCTCTCCCCGCTCTCTGCAGACACTCCTGCCTCCTAACCCAGGAGCTTTTTCCCAACTGTGGCCTGCCAGGACCTGACTCCTGCCTTTCCCCCTGCAGGGCCCATTTCTCTGCCCATTTCTGAGCTCGCAGTGAGCTGGCACATCAGCAGGAGATTTCTCTCCCTCTGATTGCCCTCTCAGTGCCCAGATCTCTGTCCCCACTATTGACAGGCACCATGCTTTCTCCCTTGCTCCACACATACTCACATGGACTATGTTTTGGAAGAAGCCACGCGTGGGCTCTGTCTCAAGCAGAACCGCCATGAGCCGGCCCAGAGCTTTCAGTGATCTTTGCTGAAGCTGAAAGCAGAAGAGGAGATTGAGGTGTGGCATCACGGCTGCTGCCAGACCATAGGCTGTGTGTGCTGAGGTAGAGTTACGACCAAGAGGTGGCTGGGAAAGTTACGGGAGGTTACCTGCAGGTACTGCGCTGCTTGCTGTGACTTCCTGATCTTCAGCATCACCTCTGCTGAAGGGTGTGTCACAATGTTCTTGAAGCACAGAACCAACATTTCTCGCATATCCTTGCTTTCGAAAGATGGCTTCAGCTTGCTGACAGGAGGAAAAAAGGAAGAGAAAACAGAAAGGCCCTTTACGCATGCTCTCCAGACTGGTTCAGGCAACATCTGAGTTTCTCCTAATCAACAGCTGCAAGGCCAACACTCCCAACCTGTGCTTCTGAGCACTGTCTTCAGTTCCAACAGTGCCCACCACCTCCCCAGCAACAGTGAACCACCTCCTGCTCTGAAAGGAAGGAGACCCCACCTCTCCTCTCTCTTTCCTGCAGGGAACAGGAGTACCAAGGCCTTTCTCCCTGCCAGAATCTCAGCTTTGCTGGGCACAACAGCCCAGCTTTCTCTCCTGTAGATGCACCTCCTCATCCCCTACCCCCTCCAGGCCTTCAGGAACTACCCAAAATGGGGACCACCATCCTGACATGCAACCCCAGACCTTACCTCAACTGCTCCAGGGCCAGAACCACCTTAAAGGGCACCGGGGAGACAGGGATGCCTGAGTAATATTTCTTCAGCAGGCCCTGCAAGTCCCAGAGAGACACAGTCAAAGTGGGCGGGGGGCACACGAGAGCTGTTCCACCTGGCCCCGAGAAAGACACAATTGCCACACACCAGCCCCATCACTCCCTTGTTTCCCACGGAGGCACTGCAGGATGCAGCAGCTCCACAGCTGATGGACCTAGCCTGCTGCCCAACTGCTGCCTGCCAGCACCCGAGGTCCCCACCAGTTGGAGACATGTGGCTGATGGAGACCTGGATGCCCCCAGGCAAGTGAGCCTCGTGGCACAGCCCAGAACTCTGCTGCAGACAGCCCTGTCTCTAGGCACTCACCATCAGGATCTCCAGCAGCTTGCCCTTCAAGGAGGGGTTAAAGCAGGAGGAGTCACCCACAGCGTGGAAGGCAGAGCTGAACTCGGTGATGCTCTGCACCAGCGCAAGGTTGTTCTGCAAGTCCTGAGGCCCAAGAGAGAAGAAACATTCTTTGAACTGCGGGAAGGGCTGAGGTCTGCAAGGGGGGCATGTGGGGGCAACGCTAAGGAAAGGGCCTGGATCTTCATCTGGGCACAAACTGTTCCCTGAGGGACATTTGGAAAGAGAAAGCCCATCTCAGCATCCCCCCATGTGGAGGGGCTGCAGCTGGGCTCTCAGACACCCTGGAATGCTTTGAGCTCTCACCCGGCAGCTGCAGCTGTACAGCATCAGGATGTTGCCCACAATGTCTCCCTCCAGGTGGGCGAGCAGCTGCTCCTTGGAGGCACGCAGTGCCAAGCTGCCGTGGGCGAGCATGAGAGCGCTGCGTGTGGCATGAGCTCTCCTGCTGTCCAGCTCCATCTGTGTGGGGAGAAATGCCTTGAGACACTCACTCAATGGCCCCCAGTGCCCTGCGATGCACCTGGGCTCCCAAGGCAGGAGCTGCTGTGAAAATAAGGCAGAAGAATGCCAAGATGGAAACCTGTAATGCTTTACCTTCTTGTGCCTGGAAATCCTCGCTTTCCAGCCTTTGCACAGCCTGGATGCAAACGTGGTGAGTGTGGCCAGGACTGTTTGGAAGTTGCTCTCAGCAGCATGGCTGAGAAGCGAGATCATTCCCTGCACAAAAGAACAAGGGGCAGTTGGCACAGGCCTGAACCTACTGGCACGACCAACTGCAGTAGCTGGGCCGGTCCTTGCCTGAAGAAAATGGCAGCAGTGAGGAGATCAAAAAGCCCAGAGCAGGGCCAGAAGAATTCCCCTGCCCCAGGGACAGAGTGGGGATGCTCGCAGAAGCTAGAAAAGAGAAGAGCTCACCTGGGCCTCAGATGACTCCTCCATGTTTGCTTCCTCCAGGTGCTGCAGCAGCTTCTCCTGGACGAAGAAGACTCCCTTACAGGCTCCCAGCACCGTCCCCAGAGCCTTGTACAGGAAAGACTGCATGGGAAGGGAAGGAAGAAGCTGAGATGTGGCAGCAGCCTGACCTGCTGGCAGAGGGCTAGGTGAGAAAGACCCACGCTCACTGGGAGTCACTGAGAGCAGCTGCAGGGCCCAAGCAGTTTGCAGGGAAAGGTCCTCTGTGAGGTACGGGTCAGGGGAGCAGTGTGAGCATCCCATGTGGGCAGAACACCAGCCGCAGCCGCAGCCCCAGCCCCAGTAGGGCACCTGCAGCTGCACCGCTGGGTAGAGCCGGGGGGAACTCACCTTTTCTCCAGAGCTGCTGGCAGAGCTGCTCAGCCGCTGGCTCAGCTCGCAGCTCAGGGCCTCGGTCCAGGCCTCATCTTCTATGGTGTCCAGCGATGCCCTCAGGAACTGTTGGAGAACAGGAGAAGACAATGTTCCCTTGCCCTTTGCCTCTTCCCTCACTCCCAAGTGGCTGCAGCCTTCTGGGAAGAGGTGCCTGGAAGAACAGCCCCTCTCCCAGCTCCCCCAGCATTCCCTCCATTAAAGCCGCCTGCCGCTCTTCTCCTAAGACCCCCCTGGGCTTGGGACAGAGCGGAAGAGGCAGCGCCACGAAGGCGTGCGGCCGCTCCGCAGCAGCGTTGGAGAGGCTGTTCCTGTCCCACAGTGGCTCATATGGGAGTGGGGCTACTTGGGGCAGGCAAGCACTTCTCTGCACCCCACCTCCCAGCAATGCTGTACCTTTAGCAGACGGCACTCAAACTCTGCAGTGTCCGAGAAGCTCTCCTCTTTCCCTGCACAGCAATAGGAAGCAAAAGACCTTACTTGAGATCAAGCCAAAGAAGAAGAGCTGCTGCAAACTTGGCTTGGCCTGGGCACTCAACACTGCCAAGCTGGGACCCGCACCCCCTCCACAATGACCCATCCCTCCCCACAAACACTGTCCCTGCAGGAACACAGAACTAACTGCTCCAGGACTGCTGTCTGAGGGGACACGAAGGGCCCATCCATGTCCTGGAACGGGCAGATCCCCGGGGGAAAGATCCCCAGGCCTCAGCGCTGTCTCCCTGGAATGGGAGCAGCAGCAGAGCAAGCACTGGGCTGCAGACAATGCTTCCCCTCGGCCACATTGCAGAGATGCATTTTCAGTCCACCCCTTCCCTGCCTCTGCCTCTCCCTCCCCACCAGCACTTTACCTTCGAGGCACTGCAGCAGCAGGGGGATCTCAACAGCCCACATGGCCCCCACAGCTCTGTGGAATCTCCTGTGGAGCTTTTGCATTAGCAGTAAGGCAGCGGCTTGGAGTTCGCTGCCAGCAACAGGGCTCCCTGCCACCACCTGAGCGAGAGCAAGGAGAAGCAGGGTCACTTCTGCATCAAGAGCAGCGGCTTACCCCCAGGAGGGAAGCAGCTTGGCTCTGCTCTGGTGGGCAAGGAGCAGCCAACAGCTTTGCCTATGGCCATGCTGCTTCCTCCTGGGGGCTCGTGGCACCGGCCTCTGGAGCATCTACTCACCAACAGGCGCGCCAGCAGTGTCTGGGGAGTCAGCATTGGGCCTGCAAGGAGAGAAAAGTGCTGAGTAAGACTCCAAGACACTCCATACCCAGCCACGTGCACCTCTGCTGTCCCTTTTGGGTGCTACCACAGGTCAGCAGAGCTCACTGGGGGACTTTCTGCTCCTACCTTGAAACACAGAGCTGATGAAATGGGGATCCAGATCTTCTATCCGCCGTCCTGTCAGGTCCTCTCTCTCAGACAGGGCTTGGATACAGCGGGAGACCGGGATCAGCATACCCGTGTACTCGGCTGGCACCACAAACAGCAGCAGCCGCGGCCACAGGAGCTGTAGAGAATGAGGCAGTTGAGCATGTCAGCATTCCTGCCTCTGCTCAGAGATGAAGAGGACACTGTGAATTTCCCTGAGTCTTGTGTGCTTCAGAGCACGTTGGAGGAGAGACCTGGGTTGTTGGAGTAGGACAAGGAACACGTGGTGTGAAGGCAAGGAACAGTAGTAGGGCAGAGTGTGACTTACTTTGGACATTCCTCTCACAGAGGCGC